AGTGGGGAGGGGTGGAGGGGAGTGGCGGAGACTAAGTGCAATGGGTGTTCTGTCAGGAAAGCAGGGTGGGTGGGAATAAGGGCTGGCACTAATGGGGAAAGTGATATCGGGGTGAAATGTGCCTGAGAGAGGGGGTGGAGGTGTGCCAGGGAGAGATGGCTGCCATGGGGATGTACAGATGCTGAGACAGCAAAGCGTTGCAGCATTGTGTGGTGGATGGTGGTGACAGTAGCATGCTGTGGAACAGGGAAGGCAGGAACTGCTGGTGTTGCAGAGAAGGCAGCTGGTCCTGGGGCAGGCAAAACTTTTAGGTGTTTTGCCAGAAGTTGTTTCTGCATATGCTGCTGGGCTTGCAGCTGCAGCAACCTGTATTTGTCTACTTCCTCTGGTGAAAACGTGATAGGCTGCTGCGGTAAAGGAGGGGAGGTGGATTTACTGTACAATTCTGGGTCATTTACTGTGTCATCATACTTCTGCATAGCATCATCACAAAGAGAGTCCAAACTGCCTTCTGCCCAGTTCAAGTTCAGGTTTACATCATGTAGTTCTTTGGTGTCCGTTGAATTAGCAACAACAGAATATCTATTAGAGGGAAAAGCACCAGGGAAAGCATTTGGTACTGGGTCACAGCTTCGTATAAAGGGTTGTACTTCACTAATGAAGACATTGGTTTGTTCCTTTATTGCTGAGTTCCTTTTTATGCTTGGGCTCTGATAGCCTGTTCCTAGTTGAATTATGTCTTTAAAAAGACAATTATCATAATCAGTGCCTGTTGAGAGAGCAACATCCGTTATCTCTGATGCTTCAAAGTTGTTCTTCACACTGGTTTCCAATGAACTGATTTCATTATGTCCCGTGTCATTTTTACCTATTCTTAGCAGTTTTTCTGGTGAAGGTAACATTGCAACTTCATCTACTGATGATGAAAACTGAAGAGCAAAGTAACTTTGTGAGTGATCCTTCAACTCTACCCCACAAGTGTTTGAAAATCTCTCTGAATCTTGCATTTGTTCTTGGGTTTTCTTGGATTGCACTCTTTCTAAAAGTAACTTGGCTGTCAGTGACTTTCTATTTCCACACACATCATTTGCAAGAGCTTTAGAAGAGCAGGTGGCAAATTTTTTTGACTGACCATTCATATTCAGAGAGTTATAATTTGCAGTTTCAGCTTTTCCTGGTTCAGTTTTAGAGCTTCTTTCTGTGTCCTCTTTCATTTTGTTGTCACAGTTGTCAGTCACTTTTGAGAAGAATCCTGAACTGCTGCCTCTTGATATTCTGCTACTAGATGATCTCTCACTGCTTCTTGAATCTCTGATGGAGCTGCTTTTGGAGCTATGGCAGCTTCTACTTCTATGCAGTTTGCCAAAATGCTGGCGTCTACATCTGCTGTGTTTAGATCTGTCTCTGTGCTGTAAAACTTTATGTCTTGAAGATCTTTGATATTTTCGATATTTAACTAGAGACTGTGTGCAATCTCTAGTTCTGTGACTTCTACTACAACAAAGATAATCCTCATCTGTATAATCAGAAGTGAAAATAAAATTGTGCTTTCTGTGTTTCCATTTGTGCCTTTCAGCTGTCTTGCTTTTTCTTTTACAGCAAAAAAGGAAATGATTTCTGCTGTGATTGTTCATTGTGGCACTCGTGTAGCTCATGTAGCTACTCGTACTGCTAGTTGAAGTGTCAGAAAAGCTGGAATATGTGTCAGAGGAGGACTTTTGAGGAGATGGGAAACTCCAGCACCTCATGTAGCTTCCATATTCTTCATTTTCTGAATGTCTGCTGTTTGAACTGGATTTATAACTAAGGAAGCTTCCACTAGAATCTTTTCCACTGTCACTTATATCACTGCTGCAGCTGGCCACATCTCGAACAGATCTGCAGTCACTTCGGTTTTCATGCTTTTCCTCAGAACAAATTAAATGACATTTTGCAGCTTTAGACTTTTTAATCCTAGACATAAAAGCAGAAAAGGAAATGCTTTCATTTCTAGTGTTCTGTTTTTTTCTTTCACAGCTATGAAAATGATGCTTTAAAGGTCTTCTCAGTGTTGTTGTATGAAGACTTTTTTCTGGCATGTAATATTTTTGTGAGAAATCAAGGTATGCAGGCACTTTAGGTATACTCTCATGCAAATAATCTGCAATGCATTTTTTACCATTTTCATTCATTTCTTTCCC